TCTCCATTGCACGACCCTGCACGGGTTTCTATTTATTTTCACTGCGCCTCAAATTTGAGATCAGAAAAGAAATAAAGCACGATCTTTGTCAAATGAAACTCACGAATTTCGTTGCATGGCCCTGCTCTGCCCTTTCATTCCCATCTTTTGTTTGTTTGCCTGTTTGTATGCGCTTGTGCTTGTTTGTGTGTTTGTTTGTTCTATGTTATTTCTATATCTATCTATGTATGTATTTATTTTAGGCATTTTCAATTTCTATTTATTTTCTTTCGTTGTTCTTCTCACACGCCTCAATCACACAAATTTCCGCTGCTTTATCAAGTGCATGTACATACATTATTATGATTACGAGGGGTTTATGTATTTGTGTGTGTGTGTGTGTGCATTACTGCAACGTCATTATCAGTATTATTATTGCTCTTCTTCTTGCTGTGTTTTGAGATGCTGGTTGTTGGTGCACTTTAAAGTTGATGCAGGTTAGGGTCGAAATCTAAGGAAATGCAGCATCTACTACTTGGATTGTATTGCCGTACAAAGATAAGATGAAATATGGGCAGCTAATGAGGAGACTCTGTCTATGGAGGGTTGCAGCAAGGGCTTCTCTTTTGTGTCTCACAAAATTGACAAATCAAAAGCAATTAGATTTCCCTTTTGTATATGACCTGCTAAGTGACAGCATTTTTAAAGATCTTCACGATAATAGTTCAGTCCCTCAAAAAGTTGATCTGTTATACATATCCATATTAATTATTTCACAATTCATCTTAAAAGTAATACTTTCCAAATGAAGAGGACTGGGATAATATTTCTTTTTTCACTAAATTTAACAGAACTATCTGTCAGCACATCCATCAAATGCCATTCAAGGCGAATATTTTGGAATCTAAAGCTGAAGTTCTTAATTCTTTCTTGAATTCTTCTCACATCAATCTGTTGTAAACAGACAACAGAAACTCTTATTCTTATGCCCCAACAATTACAATGCTTTATTTAATTTATTTTTTACTAGATACTATCATTATTCACATAATTATTATGTACATCATACATCTTCATAGTAAAAGAGTTCCCCCACAGTCGCAGCAATAGCTACAGAAACAACAACAACAAATAGCTAGCAAGCCCCCACACAAGTTCGACGCCAAACTATTTTCGAGCACAAGACCCCCAAACGCACAACGACTCTCAGCTGCAGTTACGCTCAGCTGCACTCGTCGGACTAATAACAACGCAGAGAGAGGGAGAGAGCAACCGGGAGAGAGCGTACATATGTATGTATGTTCTCTCTTCTTGTGTTTGCGGCCTATGCTGCGCCCGCTGCTTCGCCAGCAGCTTGCTGCTGACATTGAACGAGTTCATTCACATTTGTCGCTGCCGCTGCACTCCGCCCCGCCCCCCGTCGATGGACAGCACGCGCAGCATAAAAAACAACACGGCAGAGGCAGCAGCAGCACCACCACCACCACCAACAGTAACAACAGTAACAGTAGCAGCAGCACCAGCAGCAGAGGCAGAGGCAGCAAAATGAAAGCACGCAAATGGGCAGCAATAGTAAAAACGACGTAGAAGAAATACATAACAAAAATACAATAACAAGAACAACAAGCATGTGAAAAGCAGAGAGAACAACAACAAATAAATAGTATGCTAAATAATATGAAAGAATTGAATACACATATTGTATAATAGCCGAAGTTGAAACGAGCCGAAGCGGAGCGCAGAGAACGCCATAGAAAAAAAATGCTTGGAGGTGCTGAAAAGAAAGCTGACCAAGCGAGTTACATACCTACTCTACCTTCATATTCGGTCTCTGTTGACGCTTTTGTTTTTTGACACATTAACGCCCCGTCCCTGTTCCTGTCCCTGTCCCTATCCCAGTCCGACTATTTCACTATACATACATACATACATATGTATGTGTGCGTCGTTCTGGCATTCTCTCTCGTTCTATAGGAATAGGAACCCACAATCGAGCACGCATTTGTGTTGTTGGGAACGAATAGTTTGTGTAGGTTCCGGGAGTGTATAATTTTTGTTGTTGTTCATCGCTTAGCAGACAAATTGGGTCATTAGGCACCAAAAGCCTACAGTGTGAGCAGGTGGAGGAAAAGCAGAAGCCTGTGAAAGCCTGTGTGGGAACAGGTAGAAGCAGATGACCCACATGAAAGAAATTGATGTGTGGTGCTAGGGAGCCTATTCAACTAGATGATTTATGGAGGATTCCACACAAGGAATGCATAGAATTATGGTTGGTTCATCAATGGAAATCGGTATGGAATACAGAATACTCACAGATCCATTAGTTATTTTAATTTTATGAATGGTTAATTTTGATCATGTTGAGAAATTCGAATACTATTGTATTTATTTAACGCGAATATAAAGTGAACTTTTCTGTTACTTCTCGCACTTGGTATCTTTCCGGCCGACTTTTTTTTAATTTTGATGGCTTCAATCGATTTTCATAAAATGTAAGAAATTTGTAGAATTTACTTAAAAACCATTGAACAGCATTAAACATTTATATTGCAAATCAATGTTTTTCATTTTTAATTAAATTATGAAACGGAAAGAGATGCTTAATGAAATATTTTACTCGGTTAAGTTCCCATCAAGTTCTTCCATGATTTTTGAAACGCTATATATAGAAATCCTTATCATATTGAACCCTCTATTTCATTGGGAACAGTTCAGTATAAAGTATTTTGTAAATTATTTAAAATTCTAGCTTCTACTGTATGCCGCAATTCCCATACATATGTATACTTATATAGTATATACAATGTATGTATGTATGTACCTACGCATTTTCCAAATATGTCGAGCTTAACTTAATTATCAGCATCTGACTCATCAGGGCTGCCATAAGACACTAGGCTTGTATGTAACCGCAACTGACAGGCATGAGAAAACAACAACAATAAATAAACTATGCTGGCAGCCCATGTGTCTCGAATAGAGGTCAATAGACACGACGAAGGTTGGCCAAAAAGCAGCGCCAATAGCTCAGGCAGGCTGCTAGCTACCTAGATATACAGACAGTTGCCTGAAAGAGGAAATAGCAGACACATGACCACGATGGCAGTGTGGCGTATGCGCAATGTACATACATACATACATACATATAAAAACTAGCTTCCTACTTTGCCAAAAACTGTGAAACGGCTGTGAGAATCTAGCCAGCACTATACAGCAGAGGGAGGGACAGAAAGAGTGAGCAAGCTGCGCGCACGCGTAGTGAAGTCAGCTGCAAAATGACAGACAGAGACCGACAGACAGGTTTCGGATTTGAGCTTAAATGTATGTATGTGTGTGTGTGTGCTGGGCCGTGTTTAACCTTGAACTTCAAAAAAAAAAAAAAAAAAAAAAAAAAAAAAAAAAAAAAACAACATCAACCATCAGCCTATATGAATTTTATTCGGGTTTTGGAACAAAGGCCTACGCATTTGTATGAATAGGCCCGCGTGCATGATAGAAAAATTAGCGCATTTAAATTCACATTTGTTGCCATATTGACACATTGACAAACTTAGTAAAGCATAATAATAAAAAAAAACCGCCCAAGCTACTTAATAACATTACAGCAACAATTTAAATAAAGCAAACTAAAAAAGTTCCAAGAAATGGGCAACAAGAGTGGTCGAAAAATTGTTGTTTTTTTTTGTATGTTTTTTTTTGTTGCTTAAGAGACCAAAAGTCTGAAGTCAATGAACTCGAAAAGCGCAGACGACGAAAAAGCAGACCAAAAAATGAAGCAAAAAATTACGGCAGAGGCAAAGTTTCGGAAAGTTTGAAATTTCAGACGCGCAGACGCGATTGCAGTTGAGAAGCAAAAATTAAAAACCAAAAACCGAGAACTAAAAGTGAAACGAAAACGCTAAACAAATACAAGGCAGCCGAGGGCCAAGGATTGAGGATCGGGCAGTAGGGCTGCCAAATGGGCGCAAAAGGCGAAAAAACGCGCGCGCCAAAGGCAACCGGAGGCAGAAAGAGAGAGAGAGAGAGACAGAGTAGGAAGAGCGAGCAAGATGGACAGAGCAGACTGACTGGCTGGATGGCTGGCTGGCTGTTAACCTAATTCAAGGACGTCATTGAGACATTATTTGTATTGTTGTTACTGCCACAGTCGTTGTTGTTGCTGTTGTTGTAGTTGTTGTTGTTATTCTGGCTGTAGAGTTGCAAATATAAGGGAATAGGGCAAACTACTTTGCCAAGGTTATGCAGATATGTGCTAAAGAGTAAGCAAGAGAGCTGCGTAGGGATGCGAATGAGGTGTGAGAAGGGGAGAGAGGGAGAGAGGGAGAGAGGGAGAGGGATTGCCGACGATCAGCATCAGCGTATTGGACTTTTGTACTGCGCGATACGCAGCAATAACAACAACAACAATAATATGGTAGACGACTTTGTCGGCGGCAGGAAGAAAAGCGAATGAACTTGGCGGCATTTTCAATGTCACACACACACACACACACACTCAGAATCGTAGACTATAAAGCACAGTGTGGCTGCTGCCGGTGGTTGCTTGGCAGGATACTTTTGATTTATTTTATTGCGACGCAATTTACGATGCAAGGACAACACAACATCTACAACTTCAATCTACAAGCATACATATATCTAGATACATACATATACTATGTACACATACAAGTACATATGTATGCACATTTGTATGACGGCGGGTGTGCGTCGCGCAGGTTTCTCGTCTGAAACGCAATTCAATGCCCTGAAGAGAGAGGGTAGGAAAGGGGGACCAGCGAAGCTCGTCGCTGCCTGTTGCTTGAAGGCAACCCTCAAATCCATACAAGGTTTATAAAGGAGTCTGCACACAAAGGTCAAATGAGTTCAATGTCAGTGACGCCTGACGACTGACGGTGGTGGTTGAAGGGAGCGAACTCAAAAAGGAATTGCATTTTGCCAGACAAGGCGACACACGTGCGCAGCACACGCACCCCAATAACACCCCGCCCCTCTTCCAATATGATAGATGTGGTACTTACCTTGCAGCCCTCGCAGGAATGCACACCATAATGAAAACCAGAGGCCTTGTCTCCACAAACTCGGCACAGCACGGTGGTCCCATCAAATTCTGGAAGAAAATAAAGAGAATGAGTTCCATTAACAAAGATGTTCTAACAATAGAAGAAGAGTCTATTATAAGATGTCTACCATTTGATTAGTTGATTGTGAATAGAAACAATAGATCTTAATAATGACAAATAGATAGCTATACGAGTATATGAATTCTTAATTCATAAAATTATTGGTTTTTTATTTAATTACTTTAATATTTGCTTTCTTCAAGTTAAAATTATTAGAAATGAACAATATAAATATTTAATTAATTAAAACCTAAAAAATGCCAAGAGCTTCATTCATAAAACCGAAAAGCTAATAATAAAGCTTAAATACAACTTTTACTCTCAATGATATGTTGTTGTTGGCTCTGTTGTTCTTCCTGCTGCTGTTGCTGCTGCTGAGAAGAAAGTAAGCAGACAGCAACGTAATACTTTCTTTCATAAATGCCAACGAAGAAAGCAGCAAAGCACAAAAGCCAAAACAAACGAAAACAATGCGACCGACTCGCCATTCCTATTTCCATTCCCATTCTCGTTGAACTTGAGCTCGTTCTGCCAACCAAAGTGAAGAAAGTTCAAAAGGAACGAAGCGCTCAGGCAATTGCAGCAACACGAAAGTTACGTAACTTTCACCATAGTACGGCATTAAAAGAAAGCAGGCACAGCAGATAAACAATGAGGTAGAGCATGAGAGAACAAATCACGAGTGGAGTAAACAGAGAGAGAGAGAGAGAAAGACTTTCTTCAGCAAGCCGTCAAGCAGGTTTCGTAAGCAAAGAAATTATGTCTCTCTCTCTCTCTCTCTGTTTCTTGCTCTCGGCCTCTCATTTACTCATTGATCTATTGCACTTGCTTTACACCTGTCTGTTAATTAACATTTTGTAACATTTTTCACATTTTGATTCGTTACTGCAATTATGAATCAAATATCAAATAATTGCTCGTCATGAATTTGTCATTAAAGCTAAAGACTCTGCATGCCACGCTTTGTAAACAAACGTAAACAGTAATTGCAGTAGCAACGACAACAACAACAACAACAACAATATCAATCAAAGCTGCAAAACGTGTGCATGTTCATGATCTTCAATGTGTGTATGTATGCGTGTGTTCGTGTGTGCTCTTGTCTCGCTGTCATTGCCACGCTTCAAGAGCATCGCTGCTATTTCTGCAATAACGGCGGCGTCTACGCTGACGTCGCCAGCAGCACCAACACCGACTGCAGTTGAGTGTTGCGTGTGTGAGTGTGTGTGTTTGTTTGTATGCGCCAGACACGCTCTATAGCCTCTTGTTGTTGTAGTTGTTGTTGTTGTTGTGCAGTCTCGTCGGCACGGCAAGTTCACTGACATTTCGCACTGCAGATCGTTGCACTTTTGCATTGGCCAACAAAGCAAGCAGCAGCAGCAGCAATAACAACAACAGCAACAGTGATCGCTGCTCTCGCAGTATGTGTGTGTGTGTATGCTTCTTCTTATGCTGTTGAGCCTCCTTTTCACACGCACAACAAACATAAAAAACTACTGACTGACTGAGTTGGTTAAACCTTAACTTTAACGTCCCGGCGCTTAGCTTAATGCGCTTTTAAGCTTGCCATTTGCATGCATTACCGCATATTGTTGCGGTCGTTGCTGCTCAATGGGGATTTCTCAGCATACATACATACATAACTATGAACATACATATGGACATATACATATATACATACATGTGAATATAGTTGTATGTTGTCGGCACATTTACATGCTTTTGGTTTAATTATTGGAGCATTTGCTTTAGCAAGCATAATGCGTGAATGAATGGAAGCGTGTGGTATTATCGTTGTGTCCCTAATTCTTAACCATATTTAAGCTACAGACTTTACAAGAGGTTATTTTTTTAGTCATACTTGTATGTTCATTTGTTTAAGTTTTCGGATTTGTGGCTGTTTTTCTCCACCTTAGCTGCCTTTCTAACTTTGTTTAAACACCAATATACGATTTTTTGCAAATGAAATTTAAGAAGAATTAGAAAAGATGAAAATATTTTCAAACTACACACTCGTACATATGTTCGGAAAAATCCCTTTTTAATAGCAAAATTGAAGAAAAAGACGATTTTATAATTAATGTTGAACAAGACAAAAAAAAAAAAAAAACAAAAAAAACGAACAAGAATCTTATATCTATGAAGTAAAAGTCCCTAGTCCCTACCAGAATCTTTTAAGATATTGAAATGAAACATCAAACTAGTTTGATTTCTTATAGTACCCTATGCTGATTGTCTTCTTAAAATGCTTTAAAGTTTACACAAATAATCGGACATCCATTAAATTAAATACAAAGTTGCTCGTCTGTTCATCAGTTCCAAAAATGATGTGACCTTCTGTTTAATAAATTATTATAAACACGCGCCAGTATTGTTCTTGAGGGCCCAGCCATGGCATTGGCCATCATTAAACATGGTTCTGCATATAGTTAGTGGAGCCGTTATCGCGGAAAAGTCTCATTTAAAGCGCTTTGTAGCCACTATCGTGCTATTAATATTACAGCACTTTCATTATATTTTTTATTTATCTCTGGACATTACACGTGTCGCCGATTAGCAAAGCTAACAATTCACTCTCGACCTTGTCGCGCGCTTTGTTTATAGAATCGCTTAGCGGTAATCGTAAGAGCAATATATATGTACATGCATATTTACGTATGTATGTATATATGTATGTACTATACATATACCTGAATATTAAGCACAAGTATTCCCAAAATCGTTTCATTCTTATGACTGTCAGCTAATGACGTAAGCACCACATCGTCTCACCTACACAGCCTCAGACGGAGAGAGACAGACGGACGTACACACTTATAAAGGTATTCATACTTATGTATGTATATAGAACAAGTCTATAGAACGGCAAAAAAAAAACAACGCCCACATGCAAATACTTTTGAATGTGTGCCACGGCATAAAAAATAGAAATCAGCTGCTGCTTTGTCTCCCTTATTTTATATTGTTTGGCATGCCAAATAAAATTAATTAAATCAAAATTACGAACAACAGCTAAATTTATTTTCAAGTTCAAACGCAGTTGTTCGGGGGTAGATCTCGTTGTTGTTGTTGCTGCCTTTTTTGTTGTTGTTTTTATTGCTGTTGTGGCTGCTGATAAGCCAAAATTGGCGTATGTCTGTTAGAATTCCATAAACAAAAGCAAAACTCTCTAATAAACACATGCTTGTATGTATGTCTGCACTCGTTCATATGTATACCCGTATGTATGTACATATGTATATAATGAGGAGGAACTTTCGTTGTCGCTGTCTTGTCGCACTTCCTATCTCTAGCTGTAAATGCTGTTTAGATAAGCGAATGTGTTATTAACATAAAAACTTTAAATATTGCAAAATACTTCCTTGTTTGGCGTCTAAGAGGCGAGTGTGAAAGTAGAAAGGGCGACTCCCTTTTTCAAGTATTTGGCACCCAAAGAGACTGTGAACGATGAGATCATTCGATAAACAAATAGTTGCTCATATATTAATTCCCGATAAAGTATGTGAACTTATTCTCTGTAGATATTGGTCCAAATGTTGAGACATGGCACATTTTTCAGAGCACATTTTTATTTATTTTTGATTGAAGGCAATATTTAGATTGCAATGGGATAACAGCATTAGAATCACACATTTTTACTGATTTTGTCCAATAAATTGGGTTTCCTACATACATATGTATATGAAAAGAAGATTATCTGGGCAGAGATATACATAATGTATCTATGTAAATAAACATGTAATTGTCTTACTAGAATCTTTAAGATTGCAATCAATAATAAAGCAAACAAAAAATTGTTTTTTAAATTTTCTTTAATTTAAATTGTTTCGATTTCTTTCAAGCTCTCAAGTATAAGACCAGAATAACAATTATCTCCTTTAAATTGAATCGCAAATAATAATATGTATTGCTATAATTAGGTATACGCGTATAATTACATTTTAGTTTTCGTTTAAATGAAGACTAACAGAACAGAGCGAATCACAATCTATTGCCGAAATCTATGAGTATTATCTAATACGCAAAACACATGCACACACGCACACACACACACACACACACATTGTGGGCGACCTTGAAAGTTTCATTCACTTCACAGCAATGCACACACACACACTCGCACACTCACACACACATGGGACGATCAAGTCCGCACTATCACCGCTTGGTGGCCAGATAGCCCCAAAGAGTAGCAACAACAAACAAACAAATGGCACGCACACATCGACACACACACACACACACACACACACACACACACACACACACACACACACACACACTCGCACACCACACAATTCAGCAAACAAATACAAATTAATTCTGACAGCTCGATGAAATTTTTCGTATGAAGTTTGGCAATGTTCTCTGACTCAAAAAAATTGAACAAAAAGAAAAACGCTAAATTAAAATTTGACATTGAAATTTTTTCTGGTATTTAGTTTTTGTTTTTTTATTCCCAGCTAGTGTTGTCTCTGTCTAGCCCATGAGCCATGGCGCTAATTTCAATCAATAAATAAAAATTAAGCGTGTGCAGCAGCTGCCGAATAAAAAGTTCTCCCCTCACCTTGTCGCTCTCATGAGCTTTTTCGCTCCTCTCTCTCGCTCGCTACTATTACGCTCTCGCAATTTTGCGCGCCGCAATGCGGAAATGTTTGGAAACGGACGGCGGACAGGTTTCAAAAACGCGTCCAAAATCGGCGGCAGTTCAACGGACATATGCATATATATATATGTATGTATATATATGTGTATATCTGTAGCTTCAATGCAATAAAATTCAACTCATTTTAATTTTATTTCGAGTTCAAAAAACGCAACTGAGGTCACAAAAATTTAAATTCTGTCGCTCGACTCGCACCTCTGCCTTGTAAAGGGGGCGTGAGTCGCCGTATTGTTGTTGTTGTTGCTTTTGCTGCGTTGTGTTGTCGGCATTACCTTTTAGTTCATTGAATTAAACGCAAATTTTTCGGCAGTGTCAACACGT